TCTTTCTTTCGGGCTCACTTTTTTTCTAATTTGAAAAAAATAAAAAGGACTTATTTTATATCAATCGCGTTTATATAAAAAGGCAATCGCTGCTCGGTGCACGCAATAACAAATAGAATCCTAGCTGAGATCAATATTGCAATATACCCTCGCACCTATTAAGTAATTCTCTTTTTCATTTTTGTACTGATTCGTCTCACAATTAATCAACGCATGTTCAATGTTAATACGTTCAGTACAACTTAATAGCTTTTTGTCTTTCTTTTTAACATATTCATCAGTCTTGTGCGCGTATTGTAATTCATCTTTTTCTTTATTTCTTTCTTTTTTTAAAGCAAATGTTGAACCGTTGAAGCAGTTACGTCTCACCGTATTTGTAACTGAAACCTTACGTAGACTCATTCTCTTTACTTTTCTCTTTTTCCTTCTTTCCCTTTCTCTCACCCTCTCACTCTCTCACTCTCTCCCTCTCTCCCTCACTCTTTCTCTCCCTTTCTCACTCCCTCTCTCTCTCTCTCTCTCTCTCATTCTCTCGCTCGCTCATTCTCTTTCTCTCATTCCCCCTCTCACTCTTTCTCTCTCTCCCTTTCAATATATTTACATTAGAAGACTCACAGGTGTACGTGCCTGTGCAATAAGTAATCGCGAACGCCGGTCAGGAAATTCATTCATCGTGCTCTCCGGAAAACATGGAAGCACGGAGAAAAATTCGATCGGTGAACGGATGATTAATCCAGATTACCAAAAGAACACGCATTTTTATACTCTTGAAAATTCATCTAACGTTTACAAATTGGATAATCTGAAGTAACCCGTTACTTTCCAGCTATCTGCCGAGCAAAAATAAATGGCCATAACTCGTTCTCAATTGTATCTGGAACTTCGGTCGAACCACAGCGGTGGTGTATGTATATATATATATATTGTATATATATATATGTATATGTGTGTATGTATATAGTGTATTATGTGTGTTTATCCTACAAATGTGTGTGTATGGGTATTCGTATATGTATGTTTCATAGAAAAAGTTTCCGTTTCATTGTCCTTTTCAACAATTTTTATATTATACACTATAAAAATGATTAGTAAATCATGACTTCCCCCCTCAGTTGTCAATATCGTGTAAAGTATTTCGCGATGCTTTGAATCGAATGATATATCGATCACCTTGTGTTCACATGGAAAACTGCGGAGAATGAATGCACGAGTCATTTCCTAGATAAGAAAAAGAAGCTGTTACAATGAGAATTGATCGAACGTTCTAATGGTTGTACTAAAAATGAAATCTAAACGCAATAAAGTATACATTTACGCATACTCAGCTACTTTGATATCTCTATAAATGAATATGTTAATCGCATCAACATGTATTTACATAAGTGATGGTATATAATTTTGTTGCAACGAAAGATTTCTGATGGACACGTGTTACGTTGAAACGCTCATGTGATGAGCAAGATAGGAAAGATCATTTATCTTTTCTTCTCAATTATTACTCTGTACGATAATAGGCACCCACGTACATCTGCAGCAAATTCTTTTACACTTATAAATCAGGTACACGCTTTGAATTCTCATCTTTTCTTCCCGATCTTCCACTTCTTTCAATCGATTATTTATATATATATATATATTTTTTTTGTATATATATATATAGATGTATATATATGCGAAGCACACTTTTCTTTGATTAATTATACAGCAAAGAAGAACTGCACCAATTCCGACGAGGAAATATAAATAATTAAATTAACATCGATCGAAAAAATATCCGTAATTCTTACTTTTGTAAATATTTCTTTAATAAAAAACGTAACAGCTAATTCTTTTATAAACACTGAAAATGTAGATCACAACATAATATACTGATAACAATTCCATCTTATGGTGGAGAGTAGCTATATTTTGTTGTACCAACATTGAAATTATCACTATTTAGTAGTATTTTTTTTCTTTAATGTGTAAGGTATTGTACAAATTATTCCATACTTTTTGGACAGTGTGCTCTCACAGTATATTAATTACAATACAATTTGCAAAAATACGATTTACTATGATAACAAAACCTGCACTCTTTACACTAGCGCTACAGTGTCCAAAAGTATAGGTCAAGTGTTACAATGCAGCGGGCATATACATAAATGACAATATACACTCATTCATCCGATGTACCATACACACACCATATAACAACATTTATATATGGCCACACAACAACATCCTTGCCGTAATGAGACTACCCAAAGACTGAACATCAGGCATATGTGCTCATACACATTGCTTTCTTCTTATCTTCAATGATGTAGTTTTTTGTGTTGAAAAATAAAGAACAATCTATTTATATTACATTTAAAAAACTTTCAGTCATTTACAGTAGGGAAGCTTATCGACATGGTAGAAATAACCTTATTTTGAATGTATGTGGAATCCCGACGTGATTCGCAATGAACTTCATTGTATGCAACTTATGAAACACTGTACAATGCAACGTACACTAACGTTGCATGATCCATCAAGGTCCATTGAGGCCAGCTCACACGAGACCATCATGCAGATTGGGCGCCAGATATCGGGCGGGTCACTGAAGTTCCTGCCCTTCACAGAACATCACTTCAAATACGATTTATACAGCATTGTGCTCCTACACGTTTCTTTCTCTTGCTCAAGAAGGAACAATAAGTCTCTGAAATTCACCCTCTTCAACCGTGGTCTCATTGGCATCTGCCTGTTAATACCGGTCACCGAAGCGTTTAAACCGGAATTACCTCCTGGACTACTGGCCGACCCTCCCACATCAAGTTTAGGCTTTTTACGTGGACCGATCGCCTGTAAAGCTGTTAAATTTGCTTCTCTTTGCCTTAATTCTTCCATTTCCGCGCGTTGCATCTATAATACAGCATAATAATAATTTACATTTTCATTTCGAAACATTATTGTGCTACGAGTTTAGACAAATACCTCCTTAGCTTTCGCCTTCAGTTTAGCTTGCTCAGGATCTTCCGTTTTTGCGCGACTTTTAGCTGCACGTAAAAGTAATTCTCTTTCCTGTTCTTCGTGTCTTCTACGTTCAACTTTGTCCAAGTCTTCCAAGAATTTTAACTGTGCCCTGACGTCCTGTGTTACTTCGTAACGTGGATCGACCTGTACATAATATATACATTAATCAGTTTATAGAAACATAATATAACGAGTAATTTAAAAAATATTTCTGGTAATTATTTATAACTAGTAAAATTACATCACTTTGAAAAGTTCACCTTTATCAAATCTATCCTGTGTTCTGCAATTACTGCTAATTTTTCTACTAAATTTTTTAACCTTTCTTGTGCAGCATGTGAAATTAACGCCGCAACTTCTTGATTAGGTTCTTCTAATCCATAATTAGAAACTAAAAAAATAATACTCGTATAATTTGAATGTAATACTTGTATAAATATAATGCATTAAAATTAAATTAAAATTAACAAACAATTACCAATTTGTTTAATTCTTTGCTGTAATGGTGTCATATGTAAAAATACTTCATCTTTACAGGATCTTATTTGTGTTCCGACAAATTCTGTAGACCCCAGAATCCTTTGAGATTCCTCTGCGAGATTAACACCACCCATAGCCGCGACATCATTGATATCATCATCTCCCCTATTATAAAAATATGCTCATTTTACCCACTGAAGTTTTGGAAAAAATCACTGCATTTACAAATTGTGATAAGAGTACATACGTGTATCCTGCAGATGAAAATGTCTTTTTCTCTTTCTCCTTAGTAGTTGGCTTTGGAATAAAAGAAGGCACTACGGCTTTATTAACAGTAGTGGTTGTGTTAACTGTTTTGCCTTGTGTTGTAGTTGTAATTGTTTTAACAACTGTTGTGGTAACAGGTGGTTTTTGGACTGTAGGAGCAGTAGGTCGGATTCCACTTACTGCTACTGTTGACTTCACAGTATATGCTGTAGGGCTACGAACTACTGTTGTGACAGGTCGTATCTAAAAACATGTGCTATCTTTTATGACTTATTACGTAAGCGATACAAGGAAAGGGAGACCAGAAATTGCTTTCCTAGAGTAATAATTAGCAATATAGAAACAATTAATTACTAACTTCTGAAATTGTTAATCTATTAATATCATTTTAAACTCATTTACAAGGATTCTTAAACATTAAATTAACAATACAAAGTTAAAATTGCTTCAATATCTTACCAGCCTTTGCTGTACTGGCTGAGTAGGTCTAGGGACAGTGGTTGTAGCTGCAGGTATTGGAGTCATTACTCTTATTTGTGTAGTTGCAGTAACTGCAGTTACAGGAATTGTTGCTGCTGTCACAGCAATGGTTGGTCTAATCTGATTCTGCTACATTACATTATACAATATGTATTATGAGATATATATGTATATATCTAGCAAATAGCATAATTGAAATGTATAATACAAAGCAAATAATACAAACAAGCTTCAACTTTTAACTACTTATTACTTCATATTACTAGTCGGATTATAACCTACAGTATGTAAACTTATTGATTTGTACATGTATCGATCAATTATCCTCACCTGTGTAACTACAGGAGTGGCAGATGTTACAGGAAAAACAACATTGGCTGGTGGTGGTTTTATACCTTCTATAACTAATTCTTTCGTAACAAGCGATTGCCGTAAAAGTGGCAAACTCTTTTTGAGGAATCCAATCAGGCATGGTTGAGGTGACGCATTTAACAATCTTTCAAGTCTATCACAGAATTCCTCAGGTTCGACTTTAGTATCGATTAATTCTTGTATCAAAGTTCGAACATTACGTTCCACTGCTTTAGGTTCTCGACTAGACAACTCTAATAAGTTTGCTAAAAATTTACGGCACTTTTCTTTGGTATTATCTGTAGTTTGACGCTAAAAACAAAAAAACATAACATATAAATATTATATATGCATGGGGTACTCATACTGTGATATAAACTTGTAATTATTGGTTCTTGTAATTTAGATAACAATATTTAGTAATTAATTATACATAATACATACAGGTGTAGATGTCTGAACTGTTTGAACAGTATTAACAGGTGGAGTGGGTGTAGTTGTAGCAGCGGCAGTTACAGTCACTGGTGTAGTAGTTCCTGTTGTAATAGTTGCGGCCACAGTCTGTGTTAATGAATGAAACCAGAAATTATAATATTTTGTAAGTCTAAAATTATTTGAAAATTCCCTTCTAAACAATATTATAAAAACTTTTTTGCATTTCATTAAAATTAAAAAATTGTAATGCCACTCAAAATTAAAAGCACTTTGCAGCATTGCCAAAAATAAAATAGAAACTACAAATTTTATGATGTAACATGACAATCATAATTTAATTTATGCCATGCTTTGTCCTTAAAGATGAATATCTCTACTTTTATATGTTTAAAAACTTTAATATTCAGTATACCTTTATCTGTATATATGTAATCTTCTTAACAAGTTTTCTTAACAACAATATAAGTACTGCTAATATTTTAAACAACGCAATAATTCTTACAAATATAATTTAAAATTAAAGAAGATTACATTGTTCACTGTTCTGAAGCTCAGTATTAAAGAAACACATCTAAATATAATAATAAATTTCCCACATGCATTTTTTAAATATTTATAAAAATATTCAGATTATCATGATTTTTTTCAATATTATATTCTTACTAATAAAATATAATTTACATATTATCTATACGCATGCTGAACTTCAGACTTACAAAACCAAAGATCTGAATGTTAACTATTTTTAAACAAATTTTAATGTCTTAGAACAATTATAATGATACTTTTAATATTGATAATAAATTGATTTGGGCAAGTAATTATTATACATATCGAAGACGCACTTGTACCTTGTACAGACTCGGAATACATTTAGTATAAACAGTGAAATTGCTACTTAAATCTGACTTTTATTTTAACAAAATACATACACATGTATATAATATTAAAGACAATATCTATACTCAAGTAATAATTTACAATATTAGACTTTCGAAATACTATTTTTATAGAAACTTAATGAAGAATCAGTATGTGAAAATTATATTCTTTATAATTAATTTTTTTTTCACATTACTGGCATGAATAATTTTCTAACTAAGTAATTTGTAAAACTTTATATATTTTCATTATTTTTAAAGATAAAAATACTCAAATTTTGTACTTTTAAGATATATGAATGAAATTTAATCGTTTTAGATTATATGCATACAAACTTAATATTTCTTTTAAATATTATTCTATGACACCCTTAACCAATGTAACATGCAATATGTGTACATATGATAAAGTCATAGACTTTAATAAAACAATTGCACTTTCAAAAAACTTAGAAATTCTACATTAAAAAGGCATCCCAGCAAATAAGCCAATAAGAAAACAAAACTCTCTGTATACCACAGAAAACCTTTCATTCATTCATGGCAATTGAAGATTTAGTGTCAAATATCAAAATTTTTATGAAATTCTGAGATAATTAAAAAACTAATACAAAATTACTTCTTTCGCATAAATCAGAATGATATGTGCAATATGCATTAGCAATGTTTAAAATTAACAAAGAAATGGTATGCATTAAAATTATGTTACAATTTGAAGAGAACTCGATAAGACTGAAATTAAAACAGACTAAAAGGAATATAACATAATACATAGCCTTACCAAGAACACCATTCCAACTAATATCACAAACTAAAGTCTACTACAACACTACATCGAGTCTTGTAAGAGGTATAAGAATGCGTCACCTGAACCGTCTTTCTTAAGGTGGCGAGTGGTGGGCCAGTAAACTGTGTGTTCAGCCTACTTACAGCCGGCACTGAGGCTAAGCGATAGGTAGTGCCTGGAGATGGCGCAGCGACCACTGCATTTCCTGCTATACTATTTGGTGTGACAGCAGTACCAGCGGGTGTACCCGCAGTTGGAGGTGGTCCTACCCTTATTAGTTGATATTGCCCAGTTTCAGTTTTTAGTAAAATGTGACCCTGAGTTCCAGGTTGAAGACCGTGCAATGTTTGCAACGTGATCTAAAAATTTTAAAAAGTATATTCAGTTTAAAGGGAAAAATATTTGTGAATTAAAAAATACTAATATAAATAAGTTTAATCGCTCAAATTACTAGATTCAAATAAAACATGTTAAACCATAATAATATCTAAATCAACTCAACCAAATAGATTATATAAATTTATAATATAATCTTCAAATGTGCTACATAAACATTCTAAATATTTCTTTAAAAATTATTAATATCTTACCCCTGGAGCTCCAGGTCTTGTTCCAATCATATGTTGACCAATTACTACTCTGGATGCAACTTGTTTTCCACCTTGCTGTCCTGCCACTGGTGTGCCAGGACGCATTGCATTAACGTTAAGAATTTGCACATTACTAGGTACTATTGTGGATGTAACTCCAGCTTTACCCTGTAACGCTGTACTGACAGCATTGCCAGCCACAGAAACAGGAACAGACATTGGAACGGAAACCATGCCACTGGGTGCTACACTAGTCTTTATCACTAAAGCTGTACCTGTGGGCTTATTCACACTAGCCACTGTTTGACTACCCGTTTCACTAACAGAGCTAACATTGGTAACAACATTTGATGTTGTCTGTAACACTGCCTGTGACGTTATTCCCAAAGTACCATTGGCTAATTGTCCAACAGTTTGTGCAGGAAAAGAAAGTTTATTATTGACATTTGCCACCCCCGTGGTTGCTATTACTTGGCCAACAGTTGGATAAATAATCTTAACAGGCTCATGTGCTTTAGTAAGGCTTGGTATATGTGTTGTTTGATTACTGGTCACCTGATTTGTAGTAACTTGATTGATATAAGCAGCAGGGGGGATTGCTGATTGTGTATGCTGTTGCTGCTGTTGTGTAGTAACCTGTGGCGCCACTGTGTTTGAGGTAACCACGTTTACTGGCAGAAGAGTGCTCGTGGTAATGGACTTCGTAACTTCTTGAGTCATCAGACTATTCACTGTAGTAGCACCGCCGCCGTTTGAAACCCCATGTTTCTGTGGCTGTACCGCGGTGATGGTGCCCCCGTTGGAAATACCACTGTTCACCTGATGATTCTGCTGGCTGACTGACGCAGAACTTACTTGATGACCAGAGACAGCCGGCGTCGATGTTACCAGTTGCGTTTCAAGAGAGCCCACTATCGCGTTCACTGCAGATTCATCGACGTCCGTGCTCAGAGCTTCCTCCAGAAACTTAGCTGACGCCATTTTCTTCCAAGCTCCAACTGTAAACTGATCTGCGCATGCGCCTGTCGCAAATTGTTCCCATGGTGCATTGCCCCCCCTAGCGCAGCTGAAAATTATACGCGGCCTTTCTTCTGTTTACCATCCGGCGGTATACGAATTCATTAATATTCTTCACCATTGTAAAATATCGTGACTACCTTTTCTCACACGAGTTACGAATTATGACGTTCTTTTCCTCTTGACTATCGGAAAAGCGGTTATCGCCATATTACGCATAAATTCAGTCATTTATGTTATGGCTGTCAATACTCGGCATGCAAACACGTCACCCGCCAAAATGGCTATCTTCGAAACTATAGATTTGTACACGATGTGTTTGTTTAACGATGATACCATATTGATGTATAATACAAAAAATTATTTTAAAAATCTGTAAGAATCTTCAATTCCTGAGTACGTTTTATCTTTGCTTCCTTTAAACATATCGTATGGTAACAGTTACTTTAAGCAGTACGTGTTCCGCAATCAATTATTTCCAACTACTGGATTAGCCGGAGGTTATTTGTGTTCCGCAATACTTCTGAATGAAAATAAGCGAAGATTGTAAACAAGACTTAATGATTTGTGATTGGAAGACACAGCGCCATCTACTCAGGTTAGACAGAAAATATAAAGATATTTTTCGTAATGTTGCACATCTTATTATCGTGTATTTAATGTATAAAAGATATCACTACATAATTTAATTTTCATACAAAATATTTACATCCTTATCATACATAATATAATTAAGAAAATTCATAACGTAGTATGTATTCTATTAAACAATTTAAATTGTACATTATTTTGTATTTCATATTCTTTTTGTTTCCACGCTATATACAATATTATTTTTAATATTTCTTGAATAATATATATATATATATTACATATATATATATATATATATATGTATATATATATACATAAAATTATTATATTTTACACATTGTAAGGTACAGTAACTATGAATATCTTATAACAAGATTCATATATCACATTTGTTATGGAGAACATGAAATTCTTACGTGACGTGTATCGTCTAACCTACAAAAGAGATCCTTGTATCTAATTAGATCGCAATTTTATTAATATTCTTTTTCTATTTTAAATTATAGTATCAAATATCTACATTCCAATAAGTAATTTCATCGTTTCAATCATTAAGCAAATTATGTCAGGTATTACATAAAAAAAGCGTGAACGGTAAGTATTGCATTTGTTCATGTAGATTTTAAAGATTGTATAAGGCTCAGATGAAACTTGCAACGAATAAAAGTGATTAGATAAACATGAAATACATTGATTCAAGAATATATCACAAAATGGAAGAGAAAAGTTGTTCATGGTGAAGGAGACCAATGAGGCCATGTCTGAATGACTTTGTACAAAGCATCACCCGGACTTAATGTCGCAGAAATTTGTCGGTGTCCCAATAATTTATAATTTGGCGCGATTTTGCCAGCCTCTACACCCACTTTTATGAGTTGTTGAGCAGCGTGTAGTTGGCTTGCGTTCGGAATAACGGAGTTGAATGTACCGATGAAAGAAATACCTATGCTGATATTATTGAAACCAAAAGAGTGAGCACCCATGTAATCCCAGCTTCTACCGACGTATGCATATCCATCACCGCCAACCAAAAAGTTGTAGGCGATGTCTGACCATTTCCGAGACTCGATATGAAATGTTTGCGCGAACCGTACGTGAAACGTACACTCTGATTGCGACAAACATAACTCGGTTGCTGTGTGACTGATAATCACATACGGTACCGGAAGTTTCATTTTTTTTAGTGGTTCTGATGGTGGTTGAGCACCCCATTCGCTTCGTTCAATGAACCGTACATTCTTCACTATCGAACCTTTAATTTAAACAGTAATGCATCATTACAATGAAAAATGTAAACAAGTGATTGTTCTATCGAATACAAATGAACGTAAATTCGTAATTACCATTAAGTCTGGAATCTGGTACTTGCGGGATAACGGCTTCCGGAGGAATGGTATCACGTGTAAAGTAAACGCAAGCAATGGTCACAACGATTACAAGAATTAAAGCAATCATACACGTAAATGCTGCGCATCTCCAGCTCCATAACCAGTTTAGCACTAAAACAGTATAACAGAATTACTAAGCAATATTACCTTATAACAACGAGAATTAATAAGTTATTAAACAGAGCTATCTCACTATGAAAGCTTTGGTAATCTGTATAATTTTTCACAATAATAAAATATATTAACCCTTTGTCAGACACTTTTTATATCGTTGCTGAGTGTCTTCTGTCTCATCCAAATCGATTATTGTGTCACGATCGTTCCACGTAAAGTTCCACCAATCTATATGTCAGAATAAAAATACGTAAAATTAAACTATTTACACGTAGCTTTACAGAGATGTTTAAGTGGCAAAAATTGTCATTCTTTGTAATTATTATTCAAAGTTACAGTATCTATATAATAAAATCAATTTTTTATACAATTGAATAATAATAATAATAAAAATAATTTCTATTAGCGTGTTTGTGTATTAAATAGAATTATAATTATTGTAAAATACGTACGGTTTATTCTGACATGAAGACAACTAACACAAAAATCTGACTCGTTAACCATTGTGTTATTTTATAAAAAATTATAGAACTTGTAAAATGAGAAAAAGCAAACGACAGAAAAATTCTTTTTGAGTTTTCTGCAACGTCTATTTGTCTTGATCTGTTACGGTGAAATACTAAATATGTCACATAATTACTTTATCAATCATCGTCACAGAGATTTTAAAACAGGATGTTAGCTATCATTACTTCCTCTGAAGACTTATCTACTTCATCGAATATTTATCCAAAGATAAAAATTCAGTTATTGCAGAGGCTCATGGATTCGATAAAAAAAGGTTCAATTAATTCAAATCTTCTACGTTTACCGTTCCGACAATAACCAAATCCGATAAAACCTTTCAACTAAAACTCTACGACACGCTAAAATACGATTGATAAGATCTGCAGTATTGATTTATACTTAATCACCTTGGATTTTCGTGCGTATCAAATCACATGTTTTGCAAGTTTTAGATATGATCGCACTGCGATTGGCTTTAATAAAATGCATATTAGAATTAATATTCGTGACATTAAATGAATTGGAAAAATATGAAATATAGGCATAAGAAATAAATAAATAAATATGTAATAAATATACATAATTCAGTCCCAAAATTAAATATTTAAATATTTTATCTCATGTTTTGTTTTTTCTTTACAATGTATATATAAATGTATGCTTTTTTGTAAAATAAAATTAATTACCTTTATTATTAATAATATATTACGTAAATTTTTATTTTTATTTCTTGTAGAATATATTCTTTTATCATTTAGATCTAAATCTAGATTAAGACCAAATTAGTTTAAAATTCGAAATTGTAGAATTTTTCTAATAAAGTAGAATAAAGATACAATTCATAAGTGTAATATCTATACATTAGTCAAGGTAAATGTGACAGAAGCAAAGAGTAAATAAACATGCAACCGAATTTTTCTTTTCACGCGGTAAAAGTTCCGATAACAGTACACCAGCTCGGAGTTTTACTCGTTCGATAAAACGGATAACGGTTTCTAGTCCGTCAACAAACTTGCCTTGACGAATTCTCGGAAAGTCTTTTTGTGACAGGCTCCAAAATTCAACTTAAAAGCACCTTTATCATTATTTGGATCTTAGTTTTCTGACCTAGTAAGACACCTAATTATCTATTATTTATTGAACTAATCCATCAAAAAGTTGATAGCATTCATTATTGCGCTGCGAGATATAATTTTCACATGTATAGTCGTGACACCTAGTCTACGCACAAAGAAAATGTATTCTTACATATTAATGGAACTATACTCTCCTTAAGTAATAATAATAATTACCTTTTTGAGAAAAAGTGGGCGTAATGTCAGTTGCATTCGTTGAATCGAAAGTATCGCATTTTGAGACGCGATTAGTATCTCTTGTAACAAATTCGTTTTCTTGCACCGGAATCGGATTTGTATAAACAAACTGTTTTATTGTCACCGGACCTTTGTAAAACGTTTTATTACCAAGGTGCACGTTAGTCGAGTTCTTCACGCGAACATCACCAAAGTTCGATGTGTCAGCGTTGGGAAGCACCAAATTACCATCCGCAGTGGTCACTTGCTGGTGGTGCTGGAGCACTGCCGGTACCGATAAATCGGGTATCCAGTCACCCTCGTCTGTATCCGTCTCTTCTTCTTCTTCATCGTAGTTTTCTATCTCACTGCATTGGGTGGAAGAACTTGCGAGACTACTGGCTCTGGGGATAACAGCTGTAATATCTTTCGGGGACTGCACGATCTCGTCGTTACAATCTTCAGCTTCATCACACTCAATAACGATATTACAGCTAGCCTGATCTTGGTCCTTTTGATACCGGTTCTCTTCTGGCGCTGATTGCTGATGTTGCTGCACCAATGTCACCATGCCCGTGCACTGTGCGAAGAAATATTTTGTGCTCGGTTAAAATCATGTTAACTTTTAATTAATGAACTAAATAAAAATTTGAAATGTTCGTTGTTTAACGTTGTACGTTTGTTGTTGTTAAGGTTTTCAAAACTGTAACCGTAAACTGTAATAGTAATTTGAAAGTTTTGTTGAATTATATGTAATCAACGGTTGCAGAACACCAGAAGATGAAAGGAAAAGACAGAAGTTATACAATAGTGAAATTAAAAGGATACTACTTTGGAAAGAATGAATAAACGAAAATGAATGAATTGTATAAAAAGAATGAATTTTGAGATAACAAAATAGTCATAGTTTGTATTCTTTTCTTTCTCATTTTTTATTTGTTTAATTAACCGATCAAAATATTTCAAATTAATGTCACCCACTCGGACCAAAGTGCATACCGCAGACTCATTTTTTTCATGTTTGGTCTGTAACAGGTATTTACCACGAATTAAACTCATAATAATGGCGGAAGTTAAGCTATGGATCCACCAGTTAATTCTTTTTATTAAATGAACAAATTGGATTTACGGTGGCTCATCACAGCACAAACCAGGCTTTTGCGTGTGTGCTGCCAGATGTTGAGTGAAACTTATCATATCACCGAAACTGATATTCAGAAACACCAGTTCCAATAAAATAACGATTTTAAAAGTCAGTCTGTTAAGTATCTAAACGTAATTTTCTGATTGCCGAAATTGTATAGGATCTCATTAACATGTCAATTCGTTCCAGAAATAAATTTAACTATTAAAAATGACTTCACGGTGATCTTATTTTCGAAATAAACTGATCATAAGTTTTGTGACCTGTATCAACTTACTTTCGCATCAGGAATTCCCAATGACGAATTTTCATTTCAATAATAGTTGTTTATTGACAGTGTGCTGCGTATCATCATTTCAATTAATCATGCATAGTACGCATTTGTTTCTATGTGATTTATTTGGTGTGTATATCTAATTAACACTAATTTTTTGTTTACAAAAGTTAAAGTTTAAGAACAAAACTTTACAAATATTCTCTATTAACTGATAATTTTAGGTATATTTAAATAATACAATGAAAAAGTACAAAGTGTACAATTAAGTTTCAGTAAAGTACACTTTGTCGCTGACTTCTGTAGAATTTAAAAAAAGATAAAGTAATATTTGAAATGGATTGAATATATTATATAACTTTCTGTATGAATTTTCTGTTCGTGCATGAATTATGACTTAGGGACACTCAAAACTGCTATTATCTGTTTAGAAAAACATTTCAAAATTATAACACGGGTCCGCGTTGCCTATACGCGATGATATATTCAGCGGCCCAGATGAATTTGATCAAACTTTATATTAAGATAAAATATTCTGCCCCAATAGGTCAGTGCTTCCTGTTAACATTTAATAAACTATACACTTGTTTGTATTAAGTATAGTGCATACTTGATAATTCTAGGCCATCGCGCGTATCGTCTCGTATATTTTGCATACAGCATGTAAGTGACTCAACTGCATCAACAAGCAACAATTTTTTCGTAAAATGTACTGAATTTATCCAAATTTATTGATGAATAGAGTTATCGAGTCGGGCAATACTAACAGAAAAATATAGAATAAATTTACACGTAATCTTTATTATACATTTAAAATATATTTTTCTTGTGGTTCTATAGTTGTTATCATTTATCACACATATGCAAGTATTATTCCTTTATCTATATTAAAATTTCTATATAAAAAATTATGTGTAATTGTAATTGTTACTCTTACAAATCCGAAAATAACGGTTAAAAACAGTTACTTCGCTAACTGATTTGTCGAAGACATTCCAAGAATTCGTTAATGCCGCTTAAGCCGAAGTATTCGTTTAGAAAGTTACAGACTTAGGATGAGTCTGTGTAACGGGTCACAACATTAACAGGTTGATTAAAGCTGTCGGTCAATTGAAAATTCGAAAATTCGAAAAATCATGATAACTTAAATGTTTAAAGAATTCAGTCGTACATCAAGGTTACTCTATTGATACGTATACTAAAATTCTGACAAAAGCTCGCACTATCACAGCCCGTCATTACTAAGATAAAATAGATTACAATTATTTTCAGTAAAGATGATCCTACCATTTTATTTGGAGCATCGTGTAGCTTATTAATCGCACTTTCAGAGGCTAAAGTTCATCGTATACCACGAAATTTACGCAATTATGTGAAACTGAATATTTCACAACGGAAAGAAACCAAAGTTACCGTCGCGCACCAAATGACTGGAATATTACATAGAATATATCACAGATGAATATGCGACTGTTAGTAAAGATGATGATGACGATGATAGAAGAAAAATATTGTACCAACGATGAAAAGAAAACGTTATTGCTGTCTAATATATCAACAATTCTTACAGTATAATAAAAAACAAATTACCTCGCACAAATCATCACTTCTATCCTCTGTAGTCACTTTGTCAACGTTCGATCACCATCAATCTACGACAACATGGCATCTCCTCGGACGAGAGTTGTTCGCCGCAGCTCGAATGCAAAATTCTCAACGAATTTTTACAAAATATCACAATTACCAAACTGACTGCACATACCATTCCAGGATCTTATGGACGGTAAATTGATTTTACAAATAATTACTATTTAGTCACGAGATACACTAACGATCTCATCACAATTTTACGGCACTGTTGCGGACACCACTGCCGGTGACGCCACACGCATCCCGAAGGTCGTAAGCGCAGCCGAAGTCTCTCTGATTGGACCAGACTCTTGATATCTGTCTTCGATATTAAAAAAATCCGAGGAGGATTTTTAACACTTAAAAGTTCAAAAATGAAGTATACAAACAATGGTTTCATGTACTTTTACAATTGATTCGTGAACTTGGCGACAGTTTCTTCCATTGGCACGTCGTGTATCGTCGTTTCACAATTTACGTCACTGCTCGATGACGTGCGATGAGTTTCACGAAGGACGTAGTGACTGTCGCCGATACTTCGATGGAGGAGGAAATGTTCGAGACTCAGTGGAGATACGTCACTAAAGTCAATTAAAAGTGAAACTCTTTAACTGGTGAAAAGTTCACGCCCCGCAGGAAATCGCCGTCAGCTTTTTTTTACTGTGAACAAGCTGCAATGATAAAAGAGGCCCGGGTTATGATCAATGGGAACAAAACCGTCGACGGGATCGGATCGCGACAATATTATCTATACGCGGTTCGTCGCGGTAACAGACTGCCTTCGCAACGACAACCGAGCTGTGGAGTCTCATACAACCCCACTCTGCATCATTTTTTCTTTGCCTGCAACTGGAAATTCTGCCCGAGACATGAACACACAGTCGCTGGATTAATTTTGCCGTGTGCCGCCAATTGTTACTTGTGGTGCAGATCGATTATTAATTTCCTGGGAATCCTTGTATGCAACGCTAATTGAAGTGCATTCGTTGATGACCCATTACGTTACCATTAGATTCCCCTAATTCGTATCTTCATAATTGTTACGTCGTAACAACATAGATATACGTATTTTCTGTATACACTGTAAAAAATTAAAAAACAGCAGATATAAAGCAGGGGAGATTTCCTAAACTTGGAAATACTCGAAGCGTTGTCTTCTGTAGCTGTAGCAAATTTGTATTGCATGCGACCGTCGACAAGCAACCTCCGCCACCGTACCTTTCATTAACCTGAAGATATAGTCTGTCAAAATTTAACTTCTTAACAGAATACAAAACAGTCGCTCGGTAAGTAAACGTACACTGTATCCTACAAATTTTAGTTATTAAAGTGATTTTCAAATTAGCTAGTAGAACATTTGCACCAACCCGAAATATTCGAACGGTTTTAAGTTATTGTTCGAAGCGCATATTAAAAATAATACAAATTTAACGCGCGCGTGAACATAATAATCAATTTTAGAACGAAACACATAATAGCTAGTCGCGATATCTTCAGGTAAAGAAACAGGACCATATCAGATTTGAATTTTTATAGTAGCAACTAATCAATTAGAAACTTGTAATAAACTTCGTGATAGAAGAGAAGGCGCGAATTAATAAGAAGTATTTATGTTTTGTTGAGAATTATCTGTTGGCGTGATGTATGCGCATGTATGCATACATAAGTAGCGGAGAAACATTGCATCCTGTGAAGAATTTCCAGGAAATGAATAATCGCCACGGAAAAGTATACTCAATGTTTGAATTTTTCATAATTTAGTTTATTTATTGCCAGCGAAATTCGGTGAAGTATAATATGTTTCTAGGTATTCTGTAATATTACTATAATATACATTACTTTATATTCGAAGTAAAAGCAAATTAATTATGAAAGTTGTTTTTGCACATTTTTACCAGCCAAGTCATATTACTGGTTTACAATTATACTGTTTCAAAGCTTATCTTGCGTGAATAATACGGGTCTTTATTGCATTACGGGCGCCAATGATCAGAAGTTAATGTTATAATGAAAAATATATTCTATGGCATAAACTTTTGAACGTATAGAGAATGTGACAAATATATATATATATATATATATTTGTAGTATAAAAGTTTAAAAACATTTGTATTTGTTTCTATATATGATCACGCGATTCAGCCTCAGATTACCAGTTTTTAAAGAGTATTTTTTCTTTATGCTCTATATGTGTTGTAACCTTTATGAATCAGCAGCAGATATAACACATGTTATACAAAGCTTGTTAAAACTCAATCTTTTTATACACGAATAGAACAAATTTTACGTGTTCTTTTAGTTTTGGTGGAAAATTTCTCTAGCAAAATAATATTACGAGTGAAATGTATTAAAACAAAATAGTTAATACATAAAAAATTAGTATTCACTTAAAACTTAATGTTCGTAGTAAGATAATATCATATAAACTACAATTATAATTGTAATTACAATTACTGAATTTTTAATTGAAAAAGTTTGTTTGAAAAAAGTAAAATTAAGAATAAATTGATACAAACAAGTATAGTACAATGTATCAACGTATTATTCATTTGTACGTACAAATTTTTCGCAATTTAATGATACCATATTCCTACAACATCATACGAAAATGTTTCAATAAATAATTGAAAAAATTGCTATTTTTAACAATTTTATCGTATATTGTAATCACGATACCTTGCGGCAGTTTGCTGAACTACTTAGTGATATTACCTTTCACTGGTCATATCTCCATAGGTGAGAAGTTTTTGTTTCACTGTATATTTAATACCGACAAGTTTAAAAAGCCTTTGGTTTTAATATCCTCTACACCATAAAAGAGATGAAGTCAGAAGACGATTACACATTTAGTTATATTTAACAGTTACATTGGGAGAATTATATATATTCATTTGAAAATCAGCAAAGATTTTCATTAACCACAATATGAAATATTAATTCGAGTAAAAAGCAGATTTTTTTATGATGTCGGTACTATAGATCCTGTGGAACACAAAACTCTGTAAGGTGAATGATCTATTCCATACTTCGTTTGTAAATGTGTATGAAATTCATATTTTTACGAAAGCAGTTACTATAAATAGTTTATAAAAGCATAGAAAGATTAACTTTCTTGAAATAATGTATGGATAAACTGTGTTTTCAATCTGTTGATATGATATTTACAATTTTTCGAACCTTCAAATATAAAACAATTTGACACAGTTACAAGTGATTTAAGTAAATATTAAAAATTGTTAAAGGTAATAATGAGTGTATATATTGTTTACCATATTTACAAATAAAACTCAATATTATATTGATACATTACTCTACTTATAAGATAAATTAATTTACAATTCAAAAATGTTTACTTTACAATTTGGACAATGTGGAAATCAATTAGGCCATGCATTATTCTCAAAGATATCATCAGACATGGACTGTGTAAATACAGCTGTATCTTATAATGCTAATTATCAATATTCAGAAGATACATTTACTAAATGGTTTAGTGGCATATCTAAAGAAGGTAAACATTTAGCAAGAGCAATGCTTGTGGATACAGAACAAAAAGTGATAAAAAAGATTTGTAACGATAAGACAACACCGTGGATGTATTTGACAAAAAATGTAATTTGTCAGTCTGGAGGAGGATGTGCCAATAATTGGGCATATGGTTATATGATAAAAGGAAATGAGTTAAAAAACGAAATATTTAATTCTATAAGGCAAGAATTAGAAAAAATAGATCGTTTTGATGGATTTCTTTTACTTTTAAGTTCATCAGGAGGTACAGGATCTGGAATTGGAAGTTTCATTACACAATTATTACGTGACGAATACAGAACAAAATCAATTATTACCACAACAGTATTACCATTTTCATTTGGTGAAGTATGCACTCAAAACTATAATACATTGTTTACATTGGCAAAACTTTATAACCAAAGTGATATGAATATAATAATTGAGAATGAACAAATACATGATATATGTAAGAATTTACTAAACAAATTTAAGACAAATTTGAATGACATGAATGAAATTATTTCAGAAAAGTTATTGGCTATCTTTCAACCAATAAATAATACAAAATATAATGTAACTTCATTAGTGTCTCAGATAGCATCACATCCTTCTTATAAATTGGCAACAATTAAAAGCACTCCGCATGTATCTAATGCATCTTTAAAATATGAACCTATTTGTAATTGGAGTTCATATATACACCACCTAAAACAGACACTTCGAATACCAAATTCAAATTCTAAATTGACTGATGTTGAATTAAAACTGCCTTCTAGTTCATTAGGTACAACTATGCATCATGTATATACATGTTCAGTATCAAATATCCTCATAACACGTGGTACCATGACTGATGATAATTTCACTGTAACCAATGAATTTAAAGATAAATGTTTGTATACAAACTGGAATACAACCGATTGTTTTACCCATTTGCACCAAGAACAAAAATTTTTAAATCATGACAAGTTTCTTGCTCTGCTTACTAATAATTCCCAAATTTCCTGCCCTATAGATACAATTTTAAGTAAGGCTTGGAAATCTTATATTCATGCTGCATATTTACATCAATACAAACGATTTGGTTTAGAAGAAGATGATTTTTTACAAGCATTTGCAGTAATTGAAAATGTTGTAAAAGAGTACAAGGACCTGAAATAGAAAAATAATGAAAATATTGTACAATGATTTTATTTTTATGTTATGCGTAGATCAATTAAAATTTATATTAATTTTTTAAATAAATAATCTACAATTCAGTAAAATGTTTATTTTTACTGAAATGTTTATGTCCATTGCGTTTACAATATATTATACACATATAGCTATAACAATGTACAATTATTTACAATACTTCAATTAGTAAGGTTACGTTAATAAAATTTGTAAATATTTAATAGAGTGTATAAATTTTTAATCATTCCACATTAAAGTAATTGAAACATTCAGCCTCACAAATGAGAAATTCCAATTATGAATTGAAAGTTCATTAAAAATTTCATCTGGAGAATATGATTAAGAGGGTGGTTCTGACGTCACTAGAAAATCGACAAAATTGCGACAAATGTATATGATAGAAAATGTAGTGAAGACAAAGAAAGTATACGAAAATACTGACTACGAATACACAGAAAAATAAACAAAACAAGAAAATAATTTGAGGGGTGGCTCCTAATTAACTTAGGGAGAATGGAATAGAATGGTCGACTGCACTGGCAATACACGTTTCTTCTGCAACAGGGGAGAGTTACTTATTTATATTAGACTCATCTTCACGTCACACTTAATCAAATTTGCTGTAATTAAAAAATATAAATCTAATTGTAAACATATTAAATAGACATTCAACCAGAAATGTAAACAAAATATTTCAACATTTCATCATATTTTATGTACATTACAAACAATTTAAAAAATCAAGAACGCATGATTGAACTTCTGATCAATCTATTTTAATTGATAATAATCTCCCAATATAATTTTATTCTATATTTTTTATCCTCTAATGGTAAAAAACATTAAGCTACAATTCCAATATCAACATAAAGTATCATGTATGCACGCTATAAGAAATTCTCCCTTATAACAGACTTCTGCGCCTGTGCGGAGAAATAGTCGAATCTGTCGGACATAAACGCAGAACGAAAAAGTTCTGGCCGTTTCCAAGAAATAACGAAAACGGTTCCTAGAATTGGCGGTCATCTTTACTCCCCTCCTATTCTCATTCGGAAAGGATAGAAAGAATAGATTTCTCAAGCGACCCTTCACATTATATAATATTTACTTAAGTCTAAGATTACATTCTATTAGATTTAATAGTTTTTTTTATATTTATCATTGGTATTGTCACACGTTGAATTGCAAGGAATATTTACCAATCTTATATAATATATTATGCTATATATAGTATTGATAGTGTTTATGGTTTATAAAAAATTTGTTGCAAAGCATTAAAAGTGAAAGCAAATTCTAAGACTTGATAATGTTTTGAAGTTTCTAATAAAACGCCCTGCTATAACCGTACAAGACGACTCAAGGTCAAAGTTTTAGATGCGTTATATAAAGGTAGAGAAAAAGGAAAGAACTGTCAGTGTGGGGAATACTATATAAACAACGACAGATGCACTGTCTACACCGTTCTCTAGCATCGGTCAAGCGTTACAGGTACAGCCGCGATTGTCAAGAACTCGTTTGCTGCCCCTTCATCGCCCCCACTGCATATCCTAACTATTGAGCTCTTTTAAGATTAACTGTACCCCACCGCTGATCCTGTGAATCCAATAGTAATGCGTGTAGTCCAAAAGAAAACAGTGAAAAGATATATCAATTAATTATGTATGTTTCAAGGTATACAAAGTTCATACAGAATTCATAAGATACGTTGTACTCTTTGATAAAACGAAGATGTAATAGCTCTCTGTGTTGGCGATTTTCCACACTACGGGGTTGAAGGAAGTTGCATGTAAAGTAGTGGCGCCATCTAACGTGTACAGGGTCGTCACTTAAAACCAGGAAAATTAATATATGTTTAACTACTGTGAAATTGTGTTAAGATACTATATGAGCACATAATTACACTACACATATTATCTAATTACATTATACAATTATGTAAGTAAGATTCTTGTGGTAAAAGATGTTGGAAATTGCAAGAATCAAGGTATCGAATTTTCATATGCATCTGCCGAAAACAGAGCGTCCCTGTAAACCTGTATAATATGTGCATACACACACAGCAGAATGTACAATAGTATTCGAGTGCGCGACTCGAATACCAAGAGGCGTGGTTTGAATAGACGGACCTGTTCCACACTACTTTGTCCCCCTCTGCTGTGTAACACGAATCCAGTGTTTTACACACATACACGTATTCACGCAAAAGAAGGGCGCACTCTGGTGTCGACGCCGCGGACGATAGTACGCGCCATTTTGTTTAGTGTCCGCTAGACGCGTCGTGCGTCGGGGTGCCGCGGGGTTGCTTTTATGACTGTCAACAGGAAGATATTCGCGGCTCCTTGAGCTCGCCTACAACTCGGACATATACATACGAGTGTCACGTTCGAGACAGTGCAATACGTGCATAATCGTCTGTATGATTATTGTGCCGTGCAAGACAAGGATAATTTCTCTGAGAGAGTCGAGGACTCTCGTGCGCTTTACAGTGTCAGAGATCCAGCAGCTCCGAGGATTTCACGAATGCATGGCGTCAGTTCCAACTTTATGGATACTTCGTAGGAAATCGCTGTTGCTGTCGCCGTCCCTCACGGCCAAAATTTCTTCTGCAGGTAAGAAGAAGGGTTGCAGCGGGTGAGCTTAATCAATAAAGCGTCTCTCTCGCTCACTTCCTATTCCCCGTTTCTAAACATCGAGAGAGCCCTCGTTTAAGACTGTTCCTGTACCTTTTCCAAACATTTTCGACGCTTCATGCTCCGACGAGTTTTTCATACCAAATGTCGTGAGCTCTGAGCACGGTAGTGTCCCGCTTGTGCAAGCCGCTCGAGGAAAGTGAAAGCTCGTTCCCGATCGTTCTGCTTTGAGTACGGATCTCGTTGCGTCCGTCATCGTAGCACACGTTTTATGCTATTCTCTTGCAGCGTTACACGGATTTGAACCGTCGTTCGAGCCGAACTGTCGGCACTTTGAACCCTACTCGGTTTATGCCTGCCACGGATGCGTTCAGAGCTGGGTAAAATTTAGGAGAAAAATATCTTAAACGCGAAATGAGATTCCGACAAATAAAATATTCTTATTTCAGTGATTTGAAGTATAAGTCGAAGTGTTTTCATTTTACATGTGAAATGTGTATTTTAAAAATATTTCTGGGCAGTGAAAATAAACTGGTGAAAGAAGTAGTATTATAATACAAAGTTTCTGATTTTGGCAAAGTAACTTCGTAATTAGTTCAAGTAAGAATAATCATTGTTTAAATTTCCTCTAAATGCACATAAAAGTAACATAACAAAGTCTTTAAAATAAAATTCTATTACTTTCAGTATCTTTACAATAAAGTACCATTCTTTACAAATGAGATACTTTATTTTCAAAGTTATACACACAATTTAAAATAAAGTAGATTACTTACTACATATATGAAATAATATTTTATACAGCATTAAGTGAGCAAGAAAAAAATATTTACAGTTGACTCTCTTTATTGTAAAACTCCATTTTTAAATGTTTTATTATACTTGACTGAATTAATGAATACAATAATCTTTCGAATTTCTAACCTTATTTTTTTGTCGATTAACTATAAAATATTTAAGACCAGTAAAGTATTGAAATTGAGCACTGGTAAATGAAGAAATTCAACAATATAAAGCAATAACATTAAATATTTTCAATTTTGTTAGTAAATATGTATAAAACTTAGTGTTTGATCACTCATATTGTTAACTTTAAAGTTATTACATTTCTATTATCGTATTATGTGCCTTCAAACGTATAAATTATATTGAATTTCAACTTCCTTATTATATTCTCAAACAGAATGGTCAGACGTAATAGAATTATTTTTTTATAATTAATTCTAATCTCATGCATAACTAGTAGTAGATCAAAGTATATGCCGATTACTTCGACACCATGGACAGCATTGCGATCACTGAATTTATCGGGTGATTTCAATGCCAGGTAGTGTAGTAAAACAGAACACATTGTGATAACTTTGGCAAAATATTTAACGAACCATATAAATATTTGTTTCAAAGAAAGGTCTGAATTTACATAATGAATAAAATACACATGCAAATGGATTAAATAAAGACAATAATAATTATTATTTTATATTTCATCTATAAAAGGACGATATGGTTTTATTCCTGTAAAAAATAGCAACATTTTATTTTAAAAATATTATAAATGGTTTTGTCATCTTAGTTCGTGCTATTCGTTTATTTAGTTTTGCAGATCGCATTTTGAATATTCAAGCGGCAATATCGGAGGGGATATATTTTAATAAAAATAAGACAATGCGCGGCGAATATAAATGTCACATATATTTCTTTAAATAAACAGAAAAGTTTTTATTTGTTTAATTATTTCGCAGCATTATTGCGTATATTTTAATCCTGATCATAGTTATACATTAACACATATTTTTAGACTATATCGTGGGACGTTATTCCAAGTTCAAGGAAGCCACACAGATATATATATATATATATGTTTTCAACGTATACCTATATATATAGGTATACGTTGAAAACATTTTAAGGGTTCAGAATGATGCAACATATTCTTTTAGCTTTATTAAATTTGTTTCGCGTTAGTCACCGATCGTTAATTCGATTTATCTTGATTTTTAAAACTTGCCATTTAACTAATGTTAGAAACTTGATGCCTAACAATATATGTATTTATTTTCACTACAATAGCACAAACGGTGGTTAGTAAAGCGAAAAAATTGTCGGAGATAATGAACACACCCTCATTACGATTCGTTCTTCCCCAACTTCACCCTCGGGAGTAAGTTGACCCAAGAACTAAAGGGTGCAACGTGGTGTTTATTCTCTCGGAACATCGATTTGTTAACTTGGGTGAATTATTTAAGTACTTTTTTGGCTGCAGAAAGTTACCCTCTCAAATAACAAATTGCACCTACATTGAACACAGTAAATCATGAACATTTTATTATAACTAGTATCTAATGCATCCCATGTCACGTCTGTTACCAGTAACCGATAATAAAATTTCTGTTCAAGTAGCACCATTCGTCATTATCAATGGGAAGATAAACAAAAATGAGCTCGCTGTTATGTGCATTTATAGATAATATTGCATAATACATAAATATGTGTGTATATATATATTTGTATGACTGAAAAATAATTTCAACCTGCATGGATATTAAAAATGAATTTGTACGCTTTGTTTTTAATGGGAACCAAGTGGTACGTGATTTACAAGGTTTCGGGGGTTGTTGGGCGTATACTAGAACTACCTAGTCTTCGGCACAGGTGCCTGGGATTAATCCAAGGCACGCCTACCCGTGACTCACTGTACAAAACTCCATATTCTTTTTTTTTTTCTTCGTGGCGCGAAAGGGTGCTGCGTTTAAACCGGTGCATAGTTACATATCTGGTTCGATTCTTAATTAACTTATCCCATTTACATATACACCGAAAGTGATTTACAAAAAATTATTTTTAATTAACCAATCAAAAAGTTGTTGTAGATCATTAGTTTCATTAGTACAGAAATTTTGGTCGCGGCAAATGAAAAATTTGTTATTCTTATCATTAAGCCAGTCTTTTAAAATCTTGCTCGGATGTCGTATATTTTTTTCGAATTATAAGATGTTCTATTAGATTGGTATCAAAAAATGCAAATAACAGGGTCTAGTACGATGTAAGGAATTCGCGGGAAAAATAAAACAACGGTTAAGTTTGGTATGTGACGGCCACATACCACGCCTCTTACTAGATCGGCATTCCATTGAACCCAACTTCCCCATGTTATGCCAAAGGTTCTTATTCGACGCTTCATCTTTTCATCCGTTGCTTAACCCTTTGTAACGCATCCATAACAGGTATCCTTATAATTTTCACGGCCAATTGGATTTCTTTATATTTCGGATCATTATGCTCACTTTTCAGCACTACTTCTGTTTGAATATATAATTTAGACATATACACATGTAATTATACTTCAGTTCCTTACCTCGTAATATATTTTATGATTATGTAATAATAATTTCTAAAAGAAAAAATAATCATACATTTATTGTAGCTGTACGCTCGATGTAAAAATTTAGTATTTTTAAACGAAAGATAAATAATACATTTAATTTAAAATATTTGCAACATGTCTTGGTCAGTACTCTAAAACAGGGGTTAAATTGGATAAAAATTGAAAATTTTAGTGTATTTGTCCAATAAAAGTATTTCAATGGTACTTCAGATTATCTTCCAGATATGAAGTTAAATTAAATCAGATCATATTTTTATATAAATACACAATAAAATTCTTCAAGATCTATGAACATATGAAAATCTTGTTTTAGTACTTGAATACGGAAAAATATATAAGAATGCGCACCCCTGCTGAAACTGAGACAATATCTCAGCCTGAGATGTACAAATTTGAGTCTCAGGAAACAGATGCGTCGACAGCTGTAAATCAAGTAGTTTTATCGCCATCCCACCCGGAAACACACATATTTACTAATAGGTAAGAACAATATAATTAAATAATTTAGAATGATATTAATAGCGCTTCTTTTACTACTGTAGCAGAATTTCTAAACAGCTTATATAATCTAAAGCCGTTGTATTGTATTGATAATAAAACTCAGTACAGAACAGGCACTTGTATTTTAAGGACTAAGAAAAATACATATCTTCGTAATTACGGGAAACTTACTTTTCTTGTAAAATAATAACATTCACTTTTATTTGAACTCATTACAGTTTTAAGATAGTGTGTTTACATATTTGAAATATACCGCTTCTCTCTACAAGAGAGTACGCGCGTTAAAATCGCGCATGCGTACGTTTAATCTGTCTGTCACATTTGTTTGAGACAAATCGCTTAAAACTGACGAAATAAAAAGAATGGAAAATAATTATGATCCGTAATACAAATTCTGATAAAAATCCTAATCAACCATGTTTATACTATACAAAAAGATTGCGTAAAATAGACTGCGAAAACAACCTGATATATAACATGATCAGTCTATATACAGTAGTCACTGTAAACGATAAATTACACTTGATCGTCACGCGTATGTCATATTGAAGAAGCAAACGGTAAATGCGTCCCTCTATCGGCGAACTTGTCAGTTTACGATATGTCTCGTGTTCACGTGTATCGTGTGTAGTTTTCTCCGTACTTACTTCTTGCTTGCCTCTCAAACGTTCAATCGGTGGCATGATTTTGTGACACTTTCCGTCAACGAATAAGACAAGGGTGCTGTATCCATATGCTACGCGCGGTACGATGGTTTTTACACGGTTTTTCCTTAGGAAGACGCAGAACGACGATGTGGCCGTTCTAAACAACGTCGGTACGAAGAGGTGAGCTCGAAGGCCAAGTCGTCGGAATGCGCTTCCGATAACGGCACCATCGTTGACGGTTCCGATTTTGTCCCTCACATTAACGCGTTCACGCTTAAAATTATATACGCAAATTATCGGATTAATCAGATATCTTGCGATACAGCGTTGAAACGCGATCCCTTTGTTCTTGTACTGACATCCGTTTCTCCAGTTTAGCTTTAACAAACACGTATTACCACGCGGTTTAAATGCTCTTAATAAATACAAAATATTCTCAATGAATTATATAGCGAATATTACACGATATATTTCGAAGTAATGTACACTTGCTGATACCCATACCAACGGCAATTCATGTTATTACCAGATCATTTTACGCGAAACATAACTCGTCATATGATTCACATTTACAATTGATTAGAATTGATTCCATGTTTGACAGGTGTATTCACGTAAAAAGATCGCGCTAGCAATTAAATTTTACATGTCAATTCTTTTGAAGATTATTATTATTTTAATTTATATCGATTTTACAAAAATTGTCTTATCTTTTTCGATGTAGTATGTATAGTAAATTTTAGCGTCATTGTATATGACGTGAGTGCAAACTGTTCTTCTGAACAGAACGTGTGCTTAAAATTTTATAAATTTTTAATCTAAGAAATTTTGATTTCGGGCTTAAAATTCACTATAGTATTTAGAAAATCTTTAGTATTAACAGAATATATAATCATTATGTTCTTAGAGCAATCGATACACCCAAGGAAAGTATCTTGGCTACGAACATAATGACGTGATTGTACCATCAGCTGACTACATGCGTCTTGATAAGACTAAACTTCAAATGAGTACAATAATTTATTTCACGCTAATTTTTTAATCTCCCTTAATACTTTTCAAATTTATTCTACCGTTGTTTCTTATTATGCGAGTCTACTTTGCCAATGCATATTGCATGTATGTTTTATATTCATAGGACTATTGTTTAACTATTAATTTAAACTTACATGAATATTTTTAAAGAAATATTCAAAGTAAACATCGCGAAAATCATGTAGTATTTTAAATTGAAAATCGTAGTACATAATTTTTACTTTTTATTTACATTAGTGCGCGTACCCGTCATTGTAGTTGTGCAACTTTAAACGGATGAAAAGCCCTTGAAGTCTTCACTTTCGCTTCCCCCGCATATCAGTTAAATCAATAATTGGCAATCAATTCTTGAACTTCACTGGTGAATTTATGAAATTATGCATCAATTGTGATTTTTTAATTTTTTTTTATGTTGAGAAACATGTGTATACATTAAATAAATATCTATTATGATTAATATAGTAAGCATCTTAATCACACTTCATAAGGTATATTTCTGTATAATGTTTTATCAAATTATTTGATAACGCACGAATTTTTTTATTCATTTATTTCCACAATTATAAAATAAATAAATAAAAAAATATGCACTTTTATCACGATTTAATAATTTCTCATTGATGTTATCAATAAAAAAGCAAAGTTTATTTGGTGTTACGAGAAGATATGTAAACAAAAATATAGTTGAGTTGTGTATAGTACTTTTTAATTCGATAATAAATATTATATGCACGTATAACTGCTCACATGGTACATACGTGACGTGCAACGCTCGCTACATATCGAGAGATGCAGCAAGAGGAGTACATGTACTTCACTGATTACAAAGCACAAGCGCATAAAATAAACTTATACTAATTCATGGTACTTTCTTTGTCACTTTTTACTCAATCGTAATCACGTGCGACCTTTAAAATCTCGATCAAGGTCGTGCAGTAAGTCTTAAATATGAATCAAAACAGTTTCATTCATCTATATAATATTCTGTGTATTTTGTCTGTTTATGAATAATACGAAATACAGATAATTTTGATGAAACTATTGGTCTTAATAATGAAATTCTAATATTTTGGTTAAATAAATAAACTGTATTTCGTATCAGTAATGTTATTAATTACTACTGAGTTATTATTTCGTATTAATAATATTATTAATTAATTATTTTAGCATGTTATGTATTCAAGAAGAATTGGGTCAGCTGAGTGCAATTGCGGGAGGTCCAATAGTCACTGACCCACGTGAAGCTCAATTACCTAATAATAGCCATACCAATTCTGAAAGCAATACAAATTCCAGTGAAACTGCAACAAAATGTTCTCCAGGTTCTGGAACTCTAGATGCACAAAGAACAAGTTGGGTCGAAGGCATATTAGGATGTATGCGTCCAGTTTGGAGTATGCTTTCGAAAGCAGCTGTAAATGAGAAAATTAAAGGACATCAAAGTAGATATATATTTCTTTATCCATTTAATATGTATTCGTTAAGTATCACTGTGCATTAAAAGAAAATTATTTCAGCGGATGATTGGGAAATACCATTTGAATCGATTAGCGAACTTCAGTGGCTAGGATCTGGAGCGCAGGGGGCAGTATTTAGTGGAAAATTAAATAAAGAAATTGTAGCTGTAAAAAAAGTACGTGAACCACGTGAGACTGATATAAAACATTTACGAAAACTTAATCATCCAAATATTGTTCAGTTCAAGTAAGTTTTTATTTATTTTCGGCCGTAGAAAAATATGTAGTGCAATACCACAAAATATTGTTATCTATTTTTAGAGGAGTATGTACGCAAGCACCATGTTATTGCATAATAATGGAATTTTGTCCATATGGACCACTATATGACCTTCTCAGAGCGGGGGAGCCTGTTCCACCCCCTAGATTAGTGTCTTGGTCTAAACAGATAGCAGCTGGAATGGCCTATCTTCATGCACACAAAATTATACATAGAGACCTCAAAAGTCCCAAGTATGATTTTTTAATGAATTTATAGTAATTTATTAATACTACGTTTACAGACATTTATTGTACAATTTATTCTACTGTTCTTACAAAAGTTGATGTTCGTTTATTTGGATCTTGGAAATTAGTAATTTAAGAATAGACAATTAAGATACATATTTGTGCAAGTATATCGATTAAAATTTATATAAATATTTACCAAATAATGTTTATAAAATTCAATATACGTCAAATTGACGCGTTCCGTAAACATAGTGCTAACCATGATGTTTAACTAAATATATCAAAATAATATAAATGTTATAATATTATCTATTTTTCAGTGTATTAATTGGACAAGGAGAAGTTGTAAAAATTAGTGATTTTGGAACTAGCAGAGAATGGAATGAAATTAGTACAAGAATGAGTTTTGCTGGTACTGTTGCTTGGATGGCACCAGAAATTATCAGGAACGAGCCCTGTTCTGAAAAAGTGGATATTTGGTCATATGGTGTTGTATTATGGGAATTATTAAGTGGAGAAATACCTTACAAAGATGTAGACTCGTCTGCAATTATTTGGGGTGTTGGCAACAATTCTCTTCATTTGCCAATACCGGCGAGTTGTCCAGAGGGTTACAGGTTACTGGTAAAGCAATGTTGGGCTGCAAAGCCGCGCAATAGACCTTCCTTTAAACATATTGAAATTCATCTTGGTATTGCAGCAGTTGAAGTGCTATGTACAAAACATGATGATTATTTCAAAACGCAGGTACAGTAATGATAATCTTGAATAAAAAAACAATCGTCCAAGATGACAGTAACTTAATACAGTAAATTACTTTGGTTACAGCAATCATGGAAAAAAGAAATCAGGGATCACATGAAACAAATGCAAACGAACAGTTGTAGCAGTCCAAGATTTGAAGCTGATCTAATTCGACGACGCGAGGATGAACTCAGGCATGCTCAAGATATTCGGGAACACTATGAACGTAAACTAGAACGAACTAATAATTTGTATTTAGAATTGAGTGCTGTTTTGTTGCAATTAGAACAGCGCGAACGAGACGTAATCAAGTAAGTAGTTGACTAATATCTAATGAATTTAGGAATACAGTAAATAGTACATTCCCTGATTAAAAAGTTAGAACCAACCTTAGTTTTCTGGCAGTAATCGTGGAAGAAAAAGGCCAAAATGTAATAAGTATTACTTTTTATTAACTACTTAAGTATGTATATGTATATTACATATTTCCACAATAATAATATGCATATTATGCCTCATTGAAAATGTCTAGAATTCACTGAAAACTTTGAGAATATTACTGAAAAATCTGAAATAATACTACTACAGTGGCAGATTTAAAAACAAAAATGATTGAAATTTAACAAAACTATTCCAAAATCAAAGGCATGATTATCAAATTCATACTTAGTATGCCGGAAAGGGTAAATGCAATAATAAAATCAACGGGGGGAAATACAAATTAGTAATATTTATTTATTTATTTAATATAAATGTAAATACCTTAGTAATTAATAAAAGTTACTATTAAATTATGTTTTGGCATACTACTTTCACGATTACCGCGAGAAATGTTGAAAACTATGGGTGGCCCTAATTTTTTTATCAGTAAGCGTATATTGGTTCTATTTCATATTTTTTAGACGAGAACAACAGAATGGTTATAAACAATGTAAAAAGCGTCTTGTACATCCTCTTTTGAAAGCTCAAGAAAGACTTCACCGTAGACGTAACCCGACAACGCAATTTTCAACATCATCTACGCCAACAACTCCACCATCACCTACAGACTGTCCCCAAAGCCCTGTGAAAGCAACTATATATACACAGTTAAATGAATCTAATCAACCAGAAACGATTTTAGCTCCGAATAGTAGTTTTAAACAACGTAAATACAGGCATCGTAGAGTAGGATCTGGATGTGGTGTAAGTTCTAGCCCGAGATCGAGTCCTCATCGCGAAAGAAAAGTACGTATTTGTAAAGAAAGTATATATGAAATTTTGATAAATTCAATATTTACATAATAACACTAGTAAATATTTACACAATGTTTTCTACTGATTCATTTTCAGAGTACTGAAGTATGTGCGCGTTTTATAGACAGTCAAACACAAACAGATATAATGGATATCAGTGAAACAGATTTCAATCCTATTACAAATACAACAACAGTATCGACAACAGAAAAGCTTTCTGTAAATAGCATAAATAAACAATCATTAAATAAACAAGTACCGGAGTGCTTAAATGGGAACTCAATTCTGTCTGAGGCTCATTACAGAATACAATCTAGTCCATGTTCCAGCCCTGAACCTTCGAATGAAAATCATGTAAATGGAAATGAACGTTTAAAAGATTGTAGCGATGACGATAATCTTGAAACACTTGGCCGAAAAGTTAGTGAAATTATTAATGCCAATCGCCTTATTTCGCCTATAGATAATGGAAATTGTGACGATGTGATAATATCTCATAGGTAAGATATTCTTAAATGCTTTGTATATCTACTAATTAATAGTAACAATTATACACAATAATTTATAAATAATTCCAGAGGTAAAGAGGACTCATTGAAATTGTCTGGACATTTCTGTGGAATTATTATTAACGGTACTAATATACAACAAGAACAGTCTGAAATTAGAACGCGGCCTTGTACTGAAAGTATAGATACGTTGCGTGATCGTGAAGATGATAATTGTGAAGAAAGTTGGTCAGATGAAGAAGGAGAAGATCCAAGTTACACGTATAATTACTCTCTTAGACGAAGAAGGTACATAGTCTACACAAACGTACATAAAATTATTATACATACATTCTAAAACATAACACAGTATTATGTACATATTTACAATCAGATTATGTTACATTTATAATTTAAACATATTTTATAGTATTGCGAGACGACCAATTGGTCCTGGATGTAGATTAAGAAGATTTAAACATGCCACAGTACGAATAGAGGGAGTATTAGCTTCTGATGAAGAAAATACTTCTGAATATTCCCACCCTCCGTCCAGTCAGTCATCCACATTAGAGAGTAATCCCGATGTGCAAAGAGCATTTCG